TTTTGTTTTAACTTTTAGATCAAAGAACTATTTCCTGTTTTTTTTTTTGTTTTTTTTTTTTGCTCTTTATATATATTTTCTATAATGGAAAATTCTAATTTCATTGTTAATCTGTAACTATACCATGTAGTATGCAAACACTGACAGAAAAAGTCTTAATGTCTTCAATCATTGCTCAGTTTGGCAAGTATTATATAAAAACTGTCATGATTTCAGCACCGATGCCTGGTCTGATTACTCATTTCACACACCTGCGTAGCTCCGCTCAGTTCTTATTACCCATTCATCTGATCGACCTGCATTTGTCACTATATCAACAGCCTTCAGACCAGTCATCAGTGCCAGATTTTTACGAGCCATTGGTGAAACTTATTTCAGTCTTTCTGTGTTCTGATTACCTGATCCTGGCCTGTTCTGCCTCTCAACCTCTGAGCCTGCCTGTTCCCATCTGATCTGTATGGCTGACCTGTCTTCTGACTCCTGCCTGATCTCTGCCTGCTTGTGTACCGACCGGAACTGTTTACTGAACACTGAGTCTGCCTGCCCTTGTCCAGCCTGTCAGCCCCACTGTGTACTGTACCAGGAACTGTGACCTGACTCCATCTTCGATTATCCTTCAACACCTCACCGTATCTCTGATCTCTTGGCTCTGATAACCGCCCATGTCACCAACATTGGCTTTGGCTTTGTCCTCTGGATTAATCTACCTACATTCCTCTGCTTGGTTCTGATCTCCTGCCTGTCCTCCGAACACCAGTACATCTGGGACTCTCTGTGCGGCAACCCCAACGCCGCTTTTGCAGCCAGCCGACTGGAACCATCCTCTATGTCTGGATTATGACTGAACTATAAGACCTGGTTAGTGGCTAGAACATTCATGATTATTCACCTCCAGAAAGATGTGGTCACTAACCTGCTGTCTCCATCCGCAGAGGTTCTTCCCTAAGACGCCGACGCCACTTACTCTGATTCTGTTGTCATTAAACATTTTGAGAACTCGAACTTTTTGTTCGCCTGGAATACTGGTTCCTTCAGTTCTGAGTCTAACAAGAAAAAAAAAAACACCAAATGACGCTACTAAAGCCAACATTTTTAATTACTTCCACATTTTATGATTGCTCAGTTCTTTTGCGTCTTTAACTTACGTTACTAAGAGTGTCAGTGAGCATCTGTAGAGCTGCAGGTTTGAGCCCCCTTTCATAAATAAACTCAATTCCAACACAAGGATCTGTGAAGAGCTAAACACAGAAAAAATAAAGAAATATAAAAATACACAACGGATCAAATTGCCAAAAATAAGAAAGCTAAATATAAAAAGCAAAGTTCAAACAGAAGTGGATTTTATAGACTAAGCATCCCATTAAGGAACTTCAGTTTCAAACTAACATTTTACACTTATCCTTCATCTTTTTTTCTGCCCAATTTACTTTAAGAAGTTTCTTTAATCCCTCTTTATTCAGGCTCTATTTGGTGTCTAATGCAGATTTAATCTTCAGTCATTTAAAGCAGAAGTATTATTGCTTCCTTGTAATGAAAACTGGATGCAGAGATGCTCAGGCTCCTCCAGTAATGTGATAACTTTGTTAAGAGCTGATTAAATTCCACGATAACACACCCAGTCATTTGTGCTGCATTAAGTGTAATGGGATTTTAACAGGGAACTAAGTGTGCTGATTTAAAAAGTTTCCTGCTGAGTATGTAAAGCTGCAACTGTTTAACACATGTTTCCTTTGAGGATTTAAAACATTGAGGCCATTTAAAAAATTAATATGATTAAACACATGTAAAGTTGTGTCGTTTTTTTTTAACATAATCTAATCATATTGGACTATTAAAGCCACTTTCAAGTTGGATAAATATCTAATTTTTTTCTTACTTCTTAAACTACATTTCATACTTTTGACATATCCACTTAGGTGAACTAAATTCCCTTAGATTTTAAAACATTTAAGTGACAAACAATGAGTGTGATATGAGTAACAAGTGAAGAATGGTAGATCTGTAACAATACATGTTCCTGTTTTATCCATCTTTCATTCAAATATTTACTCAAAACTCTTCAGAATCTTTTAAATTGAGTATTTTGATTAAAGCCTTTCCACAAAAAACTAAATTGTGCAAAGACAGAGAGAGAGAGGAGCAGATATAAAGTAGTCACTAAATGTAATGACAGAAAGTGAAACAATTATTGCTTCTAAGTATTGGAGCTTCTTCTTACTCCTGTCCTGAGCCTCTTTGAGAGGTCATTCCTCAGTTTTATCAGCCTCTTAAGCTACTTCAACATTATCTCCATCTTATGTAGGTCTGCAAGTGAGGATCATTTAACTAATCACCGGATTCCTTAAGTATTTTTATGAGGAATCGATCAATGACCTGGAAATGCACTGATGGATGGACGGAGGGACGGACGGATGAATGGCATATATGCCACTTGAGAAAAGTGGCATATATATAACTTGATATAGCACATTTTTTTCTTTTATCTTAAATGCAAATCTACAGTATATATTACTGTACGGCTCTGGCAAATACTGATCTGAGTCGGTGTTTATTTTAGCAAATGGCACTCCAGTTAATGTTTATTCAATTACTAAATTAGTTGATGATCATTTCAAAAAGGGATTAATACAATTATCATTTATGTCCTAATCTTGTATTTACATATCCTTTCTTGTCACGATTTGGTTAAAAGGTTTAGATTGGACCCAAAGGCAGAAGCTGGGAGGCAGAGGTGAATTCTTGGAGGGTTTATTGCAAGATCAGGCAACAAAAACAGGTATCCAAAAATCCAACTTAAAAAAAAGTTAAACAAAAACAGGAATCCAAAAATCCAACATAAAAATCAAACACTAACCAGAACCATGGAGACATCAGGGAAAAACCAACAAGGAGCCAGGGTGAGGAAAGTTTAGACGAGGAACCAGCAAAGAGGGACAGCAGAGGGAGTGTATTTATGGCTGACTGAACAAAGGTAGAGCTAAAGAGCTGATAGGGAACAGGTGTGATTAGAGCTGACGAGGAAGCCAAGGGAAAAGAACACAAGGAGGCAGCAGGGGACAGACAGAAAAACCTAAGCAACTTAAATGAATCCAGACACACAAAAAAAGCTAGAAATCAATGAAAAACCTGGCTAAACTTGAAACAGAAAACTTAAAGAAAAACAACAGAACCAAGATCATTACATTTCTTTTCTTAGACAATACTGTGACTCCTTCTAATTTGGCTTGGATAATGGCTCCCTAGCTCCATCTGTTGGTCTTTCTCTCTGTCTAACAAAATAGAAACCAGTTGTCACTCCTACAACAGAACTTATCATTAAATTTGTTTGGGGGGGGGGGACCAAACAGTTAGAATATATTGTCTGTGCTTTTGTACAGCAGGGATGAAAAGAACTATGAGTGTAGTGCAGGTATAGTTTGTAGTGTTTAATTGGAATACTGTCAGTGATCCATGATGTCCACTTTATAGGCAAAAATGGTTTCATATCGTCAGCATGTGTTTTTTTATTTTAGATTTTTGACCCACTTCTCAGCATATTCAAGTTTTTGTGAACTTGAACATTGGTTGTTGGAAGTACATTCAAAGACACACGACTGTGCAATAAGCTGGCTTTTATATAATCAACAATCACACAGGAAGCTGTTCTCTTTAGGCTGTCTTTTGTAGCATTCAAAGTACTTAAATACCAAATTTCTCATCAACAGAACAATAACCATAAGTGTAGTAAACATCCTCTTCTGGAATTTCTTCTCATGTTTTTATTTCACACTCATTTGAAAAAAAGCAGCTCAGAGCACAAATTGAGGAAGACATGCTCTTGTTTCTGAAGAACATATCTCACCCAGATGACCTATAGATTCTGAACATTGTTGCAAGTAACAGGCCTTTAAAATGTAGTAATTACACCAGTAATGCCATTAAGGTCACTAATGGGTCAATTAGCACATGTGGGTCACTGGCCCTTCCCTTTATATTGCTCAGTGTTTGAATTGTTGTTGCTTCATATCCAAAAGTGATGATGTAAGGTAACTTGTTTTGGTCACAAAATGACAAAAACATAGTGGAAATGAGTTTGAGGAGGTGTTAGAAATATGAAATATGAGGCCATTCTTTTTTTTATGTTTAACATAGATAGATAATTACACTCCTTCCCAAACCAGCTTTATTAAATGTCCAAAATCTGCATGTTATTGTCTTCAGTTCATTGCCCCTCCTTAATGCAGGGTAGTGAGGTTTAGTCCATTCCATTTTTAAATATTTATACTTTTATACCACCAGTCGCTTAACTAGAGGGGATAATCCTAAGTTTACTAAAGTGAGGGGTGTGTTTTTTTTTCTTTGTTTTTTTTTTCTTAACTCACAATAACAAGAGATCAACTTTTTTTTGTAGGGATCAGCAAAGTAGAGAAAAAAAACTTTAAAATGCAATTAAAGGTGTAAACTCCTGGTTCTCCTATTGCTTGACCTATAAAGTATCCTATGGTTAGTAAGGTCATTGTCAAGTGCTTTGATGTTATTGATTTCCGCTTGTTTTGGGTTTTTAGAATAAAATGTTTCAATTCATGTCTATATTTTTTAAAAGAGACATATGAAAGAGTTTTAAATGTTCTCAATAAATAGTTCTGAATGCTTTCCGTGGATCTGTAGTGGCTACTTATAGTCTAGTATCAAACGTAGTTTACTTTTACATCTTTCTATTAATTTATGTATCTTGTCTACTGGCCTTTACTTCGTTATTAAAGCAAAACCTGCTTAATTAAGACATAAAAAAAGTAAATGGAGGCAGATAGATAAAAAGTATTGCTCTTTTTTTTTTTTTTTTTTTTTTTTTACAAATCAATGGTTGAAGTTTCACTCTAAAATCGAAATAAATCTATCAGTTTCAAGGTTATTTTTCTGACGTCTGTTTCACCTGAGCGGCTGTCATGGGGTTAACCAGCCAGCAGAGGGCGCTCCATATCCGCATCCTGACGTCTGAGCCAGGGTTTATGGATAGAGAGGGAGGAGTCAAGATGGCGACTTTAAATCTCTGGCCGCTACTGTTTGGTTTAACATCGTTTTCTCTGGAAACCAGTACTGCAAACTACCTATCAGAGCCCTGCTATAAGCCTATTAAAGATGACAGGCCAGACTCAGTCAAGTAAGTAACACTTAGATTACTGACAGTGACATAAGTAAAAGATTTTAGCTAGTTTTTAACTAATTTAAATGAATATAGAAACGTTATGGGATCGAGTGATCTGTGAATTTCAGACTTTTATCGACACTGAAGACTGCCTGAATGTAGTTTAAAGCGTTTTGCTCAAGTCTCTCAAAAAAAAAAAAAAAGGTTATATAAGTTCAGGCCATTTACATTTACCGTTTAAATACATAGATATGTGCATGCTGGATAGTTATTTGTAGTTGATATATATATATATATATATATATATATATATATATATATATATATATATATATATATATATATATATATATATATAGCTTGAATATCAATTTCGGATTGAATAGGGTAGGCAAATATAAGCTCTGACTTCAGCCTGATCCTTTTTTGATAAATGACTTTTTTTAGAAAATTGTGTTTCATCTTTTTTTTCTTGTGTTGTTATGTCAATTTACCAAAACAAATCCCTAAACTCAAAATCAATCTGTTTGATCTTAAATATGTTTCTGCAACTATCTAATAACTAATAAAAATGATTGATTTCAATTACTTTAAGTACCTTACTAATTTATTTCCATTTATTTCATATTTTAAGTCTGTTTCATAACAATTTTTAGTGATTTGTTTATTAAATATAATTCAGTCTATTTATATAGTACTAATTCACGACACATTTCATCTCAAGGCACTTTACAGTTCACCAGATCATAGAGTCAGATTGATTCAAATTTTTCTATCTAAGGAAAACCAGTTGATTGCATCGACTCATTTACTGGAATGCAATTCATCACACTTAGCATGCTTGTAGCGACAGTGGAGAGGAAAAACTCCTTTTCAACAGGAAGAAACCTCCAGCAGAACCAGGCTCTGTGTGAGCGGCCATCTGCTGAGGCCAACTGGGGTTCAAGGAGACAGAAGCAAAGATTATGTTTTTTTTTTTTTTTTTCTCCATTAATGTCATAGACTTGACAGCTATTCTTCCCAGGGTCTTTTAAAAACAGTTAAAAGTATAACAGCACATAATAATGTTGTAAAAGTTTAAATTCATTAGATCAAATATGTGCTTTGACAAAATCATTTTTCTCTGGGTTTTCCATTCTGAGTCCCTGCACCTCAAAAAAAAAAAAAAAAAATCCAATAATGATTAGTATTTCTCCAGATGTAGCCCTTCTAGCCAAACATCTGTCCATATGTTTGTAATTTCTGTGCAGCAATTTGTTTTAAAATGTACGTATGCTCTATACCTTAGACAGGGGAGCACAGTCATTTAATCATTTTCAAACACTTGAGTGTTGCTGATAGAAAAATCAGCACTGATACTGTTGATAAAATCAACAGTATCAAATTCAATACACCTAATATGAGGCATAATAGGTCATTAGTAATATCTACTACTTTGAGTTAGTTGGAAACCATTTGTGCATAATCAAAGAAGTGATAAATACATCTTTGAGAACTCTAACCTGATGGATTATATTGTTATTGTGAGTGATGTCCAGCAGTTGTATAACATTTATATTCTGTTGTGACATTGTGAGGCCCATTATTTTCCCTTAAACTACAGAGAAAATAAAGAATAGAAGTTTTTCTTAAAGAGTATATTGTATTCTAAAACAGACTATGCTATAATCTCAGAAATCTGTAGAGTAAAATGTACTTTTGATCATTTAATCTTTTTAAATCGTGTCTGGAAACGTTGAATTATTTACCTATGAAAACTTGTTTTGCTTGGATATGAATATGTCGCATTACAGAGGCACACCTAATCAGTAATGCTGTGGGCCGGTGTCTTTTCTTAAGCCATAAGGACCTTATTAGAGATTGTGGTTTTATCCACAAGAACAATTAAAGCAGGCATGTTATCTAACATTTAGCATCCACAAGTAAACTTGATCTACGTAGAATAGACATGCATTTAGATGTGGTAGGCAATGTTTGGTGAGGTTTATTAGGACACCTGCAATTTACAAGTGCATTCTGAGCACTTAACCATTGTTATATAATTGGTCGTGTCATATAAATAACTCATTCCAACTGCTGTTAAAGAAACTAAGCCTGGATTTCTGCCAAATTTTACCACTGTACAGAAGAGGGCAGTATTCTGACCTCTGCTTGTGGTTTTAAGTTTTTTTTAATCTACACATGCAGAATGCCACCATGTATTAGTACGCCTCTTTTATATAAATGACGTTCCAGCATCACAGTAACCGCTTCCTTATCTCTCTGTTGTTGCAGGACTGGCGTACGGCCTCACGAGTATGTCAACGCTTCAGACCTTCCTCCATCGTGGGACTGGAGGAACGTCAACGGGAAGAACTACGTGACCGTGACGAGGAATCAGCACATCCCCCAGTACTGTGGCTCCTGCTGGGCCATGGGAGCCACCAGCGCGCTGGCCGGTAACCTCTGAAGTAGAGAAACGACGACAACGCTCAGGTTTTCTGCTAACAGCTCTGTTCTTGTGTTAAGATCGTATCAACATAAAACGAGGTGGAGTGTGGCCGTCCGCCTATCTGTCTGTCCAGAACGTGATCGACTGCGGGAGGGCAGGCTCTTGTTTTGGAGGAGACCACCTGAGGGTGTACGCCTACGCCCATAAAACGGGGATACCTGATGAAACGTGCAACAACTACCAAGCTGTCAATCAGAGTGAGAAACCTTCCATTCTTCAGACTCTCCTCAGTGTTTCAATAAGAACCAGAAGCAGACAAAGGTTTATTGATGTGCTTCTAATAGTTTGGCTAAGACTATTAATAAATCCAGCATTCCTTGACTCTGATAAAATCTGTTGAAAATTTGGTTATTTTCAGATTTTTTCAGCTGTTTTTCAACTTGCTTTGTTTCCAGATTCGTGTCTTTATGTTAAATCATACCACCCTTTATAACATTATTTGTTCTTATTCATAAAAAACAGTTCAGAGCAAATGGAAATGCTAGCATTAAATTAATACACAATGATACAGATAGTTTTTCATTTCAAATGCCAAGACAATAAAAAAAAAATTATATCTAAATCTCACAGGAGAGAAACAATAAGTTTAATAAAAAGGTCTACAATGCTTTATTGATATAACCAATATAACATTTAGGTTTATTCCTGCTCAAACAGACTCTACATTTGAAAAGTAATCAGAAAAAAGTGAAAAAAGCCATGTGTACATTCCTAGAAGGGAGACTTTTAAAACATTTTAAAATAATCAAGAGAAAACTGAATATAGTTAAAGGAGATTTATTCAGATAATTCAAGAAATGAAGCAAATAGCCTCACCAGAAGGAAATTAGTTCATAGATTTAATTAAATGAAACAGCTGCAAGATTTATATGAGTTTAGAACAATGGAAATATAAATATTATGCCGAATCAAAAAGAAATTAGAATTGAATAAACCCTGTGAGAGTGACTCCTTCAGGCTCTAGATTCTCTGGACATTTGGGGCGTTACCTTTATTTATATTCAATTATAATTATGTTTGGTTAGCATTAGAATATTAATCATCATGCTTTTAACTTTGTCTAATATTTTCAACAAGCTCTTGATGATATAAACAAATCAAATCATTAAAAGGTGTGTCTATTAGGAGGGCTGTCAGTGCCAAACTAATGACTCTCTCCTCTTGTTGATGGGTTCTATTTGTTGTTTTGTGTTCCTTTGAAGTTAAAATGTCACACTTGCACAACTATATTATCTCAATAAAGAAAAGACGTTTCAGTATCCTGTCAGTCAAGGTTGTATAATCCT